TCTGGTGTCAGCAGCTTTGCTGTCCTGTCTGGCTGCCCTTCGCAGTGGAGAAGCTGGCATGGGCTTGCCTGGCTGGATGAGTGAGCAGTGGGCGGACAGCGAGGGAGGAGGGCCCGTGTACACTGTTGGTGCAGCGCCTGGAGAGTTAGGGCCTCCGGCGGCTGTGGCCTGCTTAGTGCTGTGCAGTTGTCTGTTAAACTGTTTTTGAAGATTTCTTACTACCATTTATCAAACAGTAATGACAGTAACATAATGGTAGCAGTGACGTTTTTATTGCTTTCTGTTTATCAGGCAGTACTTTCAAGTACTTTATGTAATTAGTCATTACTCTTTTTTACTGAGACAAAATCTTGATAAATTGCCCACATTGACCCGAAATTGTGATACTACTGCCTCAGTCTCCTAAGCAGCTGAGATTACAGGATCGTGTTACCACGTCAGCTAATCATTTCCTATTAATCTTGCTAATAATCCACGTAGCTCCCATTTGATAGATATGGACTTGGAGGTAGTGAGAAGCTAAGTAGTTTGCCCAATTTCTCACCTAGTTTTACGTGATGGAGCCAGGTTCTGACCTAGGTAGTTTGACTCCAGAGCCAGCTCTCTTAGCCCTGTTCTGGTTCACTCAGATGTAAGGCCCAACCTTCCATCATTAGAAATAAATTAGTGTTTATTGGTTGACGTTCAGCTTTTATGTGCTGTATAACACAGTGCAGTTGTGCACAGACCAGTTGTGTGGATAAGCCAGAAACCTGGGACAGAAAAGGACTTGTTTCTATGTCACCAAGCAAGACAAGGTTTCAGAGTCAAGAAGTTGTATCTAATCTCCTTTTTCCTTCGGGGATTCTCTTGGTGAAGTTGGTAGTAATGTTTTGGTTTCTATCTTACAACCTAATCCTTCAGTGCCGACGTAACATGGTAATTTGTACAGCGACGTTCACTGGTACCTAGCAGCAGCAGATTTCCAGAGTATGACAGGGAGGTGACAGACAAGTCATTGTGGGTCAGGTGGTGCAGCATGTGGTGGTCTTTTCACTCCCTCAATGCCTTCGCTAGTTGAAAGTGAGAATTTCTGCCCTGACTTAGATCACTTCCCCCAGTTTGGGGAAGATTGACATGTCTACTCTGCTGCAAAGGTCTTTGAAGAACATTTTAGAAGCTAGGGATTTAGTAGCTCAGCAAGACCAGCTCGGTTAGATGCCACTGCGAAGCTCTCCCCCATTTTCTGCTCATCTGTTCTGGGTGGGCCTGCTGGATACCTTGGCCTCGATGAGAAGGCCTGAGACCCAGATGCAGCATACCTGTAATTTGCCAGGATATTGCAGCTGCTCAGTATGAGGGCCAGGATCTCAAGCAGATATTTCTAACCTCAGAAAAACAGGTACTCACGGCTCCTGTTCCAAGCACTGTTACAAAGTCATTGTTTACTAGCTCTCTGAATTCTAAGATTCCCCTTGAAGTGGAAGCTATCACCCTTGATCTATAGGTGAAGAAACCAAGGAGTAGAGGAGTTAGGTAGATTGGTGAGGTTCAGAAGCCACTATGTTACACAGCTATGATTGAATTCAAGCCACCGAGCTCGAAGCCCGTCGGCCACTCCATGAGACCACGCTCTTAAGAGCCTCATCCTTACAGTCACCTGCCTAAGTTGCCCCAGTAGTACCCAACTTTTTTTTTTAATAGTGCCTCACTGAATCAGTAAATTCCCTTTCTTGGACTCAAACATCTGATCCTCTGAGTCAGCCTCCCAGAGTACTCAGATTATAAACCTTTACCACCAGGCCTGTTAGGGTAGTAATCTTGAGATTGGGAGAAAGTTTGAGAAGATAGACTAGAGAGTAAAAATTAAACCAGGCCGCTCATTTCTTGTTCCACCGCCACATATGGCTTTGGGCTGACTGCTCACTCAGTTGTAGCAGGATTCATGGACCTGGCATTTTGCCTCTTCCAGGGCAATTCTGCACTGTAGCTAAGATGGTGACTGACCTAATACAGAGGCCAGCTCCCTGTGCACATTGCTGGGGGTCACCAGACTATCGAATGTGCTCTAGTTCTGTAGATCTCAGCTTTGCTGGTGGTCAGAGTTCAGCACAAGCCAATTACAAGTCTTTTCTATAGCATGGTATATTCCAGAGGCATTCTTGTTTTATGTTTGTGTTCTGGAGGAATTTGATCATTAGAGGTATAATTTTACAAATCAAAGTAGAATAAGCATTAAATAAATGAGGGCCCTTTACAGTAGTCCTTTTTTTTTTAATTTTTATTTATTT